CCCAACCTTGAATTACCCACAAGTGGAGACTTAGACTGCCCATCTAGTTTAGCAGCAAGGAAGAAAGATGAGGTGAGTGGTCCCCAGAACACTGCTCATCCTATTCTTGTCCTGATGCTGTCCTTGAAAAGCCTTTTTATCTCCATCCCTATACCATCATTTAGTCTCATCTTCAAAAGGAAGTATTGTCTCCCTTGTTGGGAAGGCTAAATGAGCCAATATGGGAAATGGAGTCTGTGAGTCGGAAAAAGCCCAACACTGAGGTGGCCACTTCCTGTGCACAAAGGTCCACACGGCCTTAGTCACAATCACACTCATCAATTAGAGGACTCATTTGGCCTTGTTCACACAAAGCAACAAAACCACAGACTTGGCATTCTTCATCTGTCTCTCAAGCGCGGCTTTACAGTCACAAGACACGTTTACAGAGGTACTAATCCTAGGACCTGCCCCCAGATCAACAAAATCATAGTCTCCATAGTAAACTCAAGAATCTCTCGGCCAGTCAAGTTCTCCAGGCAGTTCTAACATGCAGTCAAGTTGGGGGCGAATACTGTGCTCCTTCAGACATATCACCCAAAGCTTCTGTTCATACCAACCACGGGACATAAAGCTGGTCTGGTCCCATCTTTCCTGGGGTACACACTGTGAGAGGATAATTTTATGTCAACTTGATACAAACTAAAGTCATCTGAGGGGAGGGAACCCAGGTGAGAAAATGCCTTCATAAGATGGGGCTTTAGCAAGACTGCAGGGCATTTTTTTAATTGGTGTGTAATGAGCCCAGCCCATTGTGGGTGATGCCATCCCTGGGCTGCAGGTCCTGGGTTCTATAAGAAAGCAGGCTGGGTGAGTCATATGAAGCAAGCTGGTAACCCACACTCCAGCAAGATCTCTGCATCAGCTCCTGCCTCCAGGTTCCCGCCCTTTCTGGGTTCCTGTCCTGACTTCTTCAGTGATGAAAGTGATGTGGAAGTGTGAGCTAAGTAACTCCTTCCTCCCCAGGCAGTTTTTGGTCAGGGTGCTTCTTTACAGCAATAGTGACCCTAATTAAGGCACACACACTAAGACTCATAGGAATGTCCGTCCATAAACACATGCAAAAATACACACAAGGCATATAGGTAGATACACATAAAAGTGAAAATGGGTTGTAGAAGGACGCTAACCAAAAGGATGGAAAGGGTACACCTGACAATAAAATGTGTCAAATTTCAAGACCTAAAGAATAATTGAGACTTTTAGAAGGAGGTACAAAATGAGGAGTGGGTAAAATGGTCAGACAAAGAACAGGCTTCTTGGAAGACTCCTGATATGAGAGCACTTATCACTTATGACTCTACATCAGCAAGGAACTCCTCAGAGCTTACCCTCCCCCAACACACACGCACACACACACACTATGCAGACCCATCAGAGCTGCACCCAAAACTAGCCCAGTGCCTGGTCTCTAGCTGCCTGTTATCACTAACTGTGTGTTGAGCACAGACCAGGATAAAAGGCGGTAAATGAGTAAAAACAACGAACACCCCCAAAGGAAAAAGAGTGCTTGTCCCAGATCCCTGGGGCAAAACTAAGAATAAGTCAGCTTAAGGTAATGAGATTCAGCACAAAACAGAGAAAGTTCGTGTCCCTGCAGGCATCATTAACTGCATCACACAGAGCAGAACTACCTAGGGAAAAAGAGAAAAAGCCCTGCAGATCCATGGTCAGGGTCTGCATCGGTGAGAAAATAGATCCTGTACTACAACAAAGGCTGCCTGATGGACAGGCCAATGGAAGGCACAACTTCCCTGTTTAACCCCCTTCGTAGACCCTAATGTCCGTGGGCCTCCCTAACTAGACCCATACAAGCTGCCCCTCTCTCGGTGTCCCTCCTCCACAGGCTGTCTTGTTCCTTTAAACCTGACTTAATCTAAGCCTGGGATGCCTCTGTCTACTCGCCGCTACACCATCCTTCTCAATCTAGTCCTTGTGTCCTCTCCAGGAAGCCCAGGTTCTCATGACACTCAATTCAGAGAACCCACTTGGCTGTCAATCCTGCGTGTCCTGGACCATGGGTAAGTAAAACCACCTAGGAGCAAACCCCGGACTTCTGCACCCCATGCCACCTCACACATAGGTAAGGTATATCGGAACTAACTAAATGCTTGTTTTGATCAACTAACATTGGCAAGATGCCAAAACATAAGTGCCGGTGTACTTGGTTAAAGGGGCGTCCATCCAACTGGGAAAATTCTGAATGTGGAGGTCTGAGTTCAAAACCATAATGATCTAAGTAAGACAAGATATTTAAAGACTCTAGACCTGTTCCCCCATCTATGAAATAAGAACAATATTTGACAACTACTTATGAAGAAAGCACCCACTATGTGCACTCAGCACACAGTAGGCTCTCCTTAACTATACTAAGCGATGAGAGCCCCTCCCACTCAACACACTGGTGTTCATTAGTCTTCCTCCTTCTGACCACAAGCTCCTTCAAGGCCTTCTCCCACTCCTACAGAGCGCCTTGGACTCATAAGGGTTGTTTAGCTGCCAGCAAATTCCCCCAGAGGCCTCGCTCTGTTTCATCTGTTCAAGGCTGTGGAAAAGGACAAGGGCTCTGAATCTCAAGAGTGAACCTGTAGGGGGAACCTTCCACTCTTCTGGGCTGCAATGCTGGACAAGAGTTAGAAAGGCCACTTGGGTGCCTATTTCCCCAACTCCCCGCCCATAGGAAGGTTTCTGTTCTTAGTGGCTCTTTCGTGGTGTTCTGAAGGCATTCAACTTCCAACGCAGCTAAAGGGCTGGAGAGCAGGTTACAGAGTCAGGTGCCACCAAGCCAGGCTGGGTGGGCAGGGAAGGCTGGGGAGGCTACAGTGAGCTTGCTAGTGTTGCTCACGTGCGCAGCGCACCCGGGTCATTATCCTCCTCCTCGGGGGCCTGGCAGCAGAGAGAAGGAGGTTGGCACATCCACCAGACTTCGCATGGGTGCCAGCATCGCCCACCCAGTCAACCTCCAGCGACCCTCCAGCAGCACCCACCGACCGCCAGTTCCAGGGTAGGTGGTCCGCAGTGCCCCCTCGGCCACCGGACTACTACTTAAGTTGGGAGCTCCGCTGAGTCCACGAGCGTGCGCCCACCACCCACGCCCACTGCCACTTATACACACCAAGGAACTGCGTCCGGAGCTTCTTAAATTCCTCAAGCACCTCCCCATAGTCACATCCCGCGCCAGTTACCTACTCGCGGCACCCAGGACCACCCCCCCCCCCAATGCTTTGGAACCCTCAAACCCCGCGCATAGATCTCGCGCCCTCCCACCGGCCAGTGCCCCGAGCCCTGCGCGCCACCAAACGGCATACCTTGGGGGTCTGCACTTCGGGTCCCAGTGGCACCTCCAACTTCCTCTTGGTGACCCAGAAGAACAACAGCACGGTGATCCAGAGAACCCCGAAGATGGGCAGCGCCAGGCGGCGAGTCAGGCGCCGCATGGTCCCCTTTGCCTGTTCCTCTCGGCGGCGACGCGTCCCTGGGGCACCCCCCGGCGGTCAGGGGCGGCGGGGCACGAGTCGCCTAGCGTCTAGCTCTAAGAGAAACGCTTCTCCCGGGATCCCGATGTTGGGTGGTGGGGTCCTGCCCCTCCCGCTTCAGAGAGAAGCCACAGCCGGGGATCAAGCGACGAGGGGCGCCGGAGACTCGAGACACCGCCGGGAAGGGGCGAGGGGCAGCTCAGTTGGGCGCCCGCTCCAGCCGGAGAGCCGCGGTGACCGCCGAGATGCTGCTGCGCGCCGCGGCTGCCTTTGCCCGCGGCCGCCGCGAGGGAAACTGCCTGGAGCAGCCGGGAAGGTAGAATCCGAGGCTCTGCCTGGCACCCCAGGAGGAGCACGAGGAGGAGGGAGCGCGGAGGGAGGGCGGGCCCGACAGACAGACTGACTCCGAGCGAGAGCCGGGCGGGAGGGAACCCGGCTCTAAGAGGGGGCGCTACCGCCTCCCGCCGACCGAGGAGCACCGCGCGGTTGAGGGACCTTGGATGCAGCTCTCGGACCGTCCCGGGCTAGAGCCCTGCGGGGCGGGAGGGGGCGGGATAGGGGGGGATGGGGCGGGGACGGGTTACCGGAATGCTAGCTACTCCCGTGGCAAGCTGATACTTAAGGTTCGCACCGCACCAACCCGCGCCAGGTGAGGCACTGCCTGGGAGGAGTTCCCGATCGATGCTGGACGCTGCATGTGGCGCTCCCATTAGGATCCCCCTAACCCGCAGCCAACATTGGGATAGTGGGGCTGACCCAGATGCTGCCTCCTGTCCAGGCTCACTTGCTTGACCATTCAGGGCCAAGGTCAAGTTCAGTCATCTCCCTAGGGCATTTCTTTGCCTTTGAGCAGGTGCCTGGCAACTTTCTCTGCTTAATGGAAAACTGAGCCGGTCTAAATTTAACTTGAAAGATGTCCTTTTAAAAATTAAGGCAAGATTATCTCCCTGAGGATTTTTCTCTCCTTGTAAAGTATCGGGGCTTGCTGGAGAGGGGACCTAAAGTTAGGGCGACTACAAGAAGCTGCAAGAAAATGACCGTGGGAGTGTGAACACCAGGTACACGGGAGTATCTTTCAAAATTCCTTTCCCGAAGACTTTAAGGAATGTGCCCTCCGGCCACAGACTAAAGTCATTTGGATTTAGAGACAGGAAAGATTCTGAATCCAGTTTCTGCAAAGGCCTCAGGTAGGCTGGAATTCTAGCCCTATCTGTAAATTAGGAAATGGTTCATAACCCAGCCTACCACACCAACAGTGGCAATCACAACTGCATTGCATCCCATCCCTTCCCTACTGGAGTCCGTAACTTAAAACGAATGTGAACACTGAATGCCAGTCATCTGTCTCACCTGAGAGTTCAGAGAGAAAAGGTGCGCAAGTTTTGCACAGTCTGGGGGGAGCAGTTAGAGGGAGGCTGGCTCCCAGTTTCTTCAGGTGCAAATGACACGGCAAGCAGTCCAGCCGCATCCTCCCTGCATCTTCCTTCACAGAGCTAGAATGTGGCATCCGGGTAGTGCCCACACCTGACTGCAGGTAAGAAAGTTGTCAGTCAGCTCTCCAGACTGCAGAACTCCCACCTGGTGCTATGGAGCCCTCAAGACACATGCTCAGTAACAGAGGAACCCCCACAAAGCCTCCAGTATTTGGTACCTTGTCTTTCAGCCGTAAGGCAACCAAGCCCAAAAGCCACGGAAGTGTCCTGGAGGAAAGGGGCTGGGGGTAAGAAATCTGGAATTGGAAACAGCTGTGGAAATCAAACAGCCAGAAAAAGCTTGCCAGCCCATTGCTAGATGCCGCTGGGTTTGCTGAGCACCACGCAGACCCCAGCTGACGGCTGACATCGTCCCACACTTGTCTTTGTTGGACTCCTAGCCTCTGAAAGGTTGGGTCTACTCTCCGGTTGATGCTTCGGTCAGGCAAAGGCCCCTGGGTAAATAACTGCCGTGGGAGGGGTGGGAAATGGTAGAAAGCACCCATTCCTGCATCTTTCGGAACTCTCTGGATCTTTTCCAGGAGCCTCACCCTAGGTCCCTGGTCCCTGGCCTACAAAAGGTTCTTCTGTGTCAGCTCTGCAGGGGACCCCTCCCACCCAACTCCGCTACTCCCAAGCAAGCTGTGGAGCTGCTGAGTGCTCCAAGCAAGCGCCACAGCATCAGCCCCGGAGTCCATAGCTCAGCGCTTTGTGATGCTGCCTCTGAGTAACAGATGGCAGACAGTTACACAACACCATCGCCAAGCTCTTGAGATGGTGCAGCCGCACACTGCCTGCTGCCGAAGGGTTTCATTCAGACTGGTCGGCATACGGGGAAGCCAAGGCCCTGGGGTGAGACGACTCCTTATGAAGGCCTGTGATACGGGGGAGACTGGAGATTTTCTTCTAACGCTCATAAACCGTTATTGTTTTGTCTTCCTCTCACATGGGAAAGAGTCCCTGGGCCTTGGAAGATTTCTAAAGAATCCGGTTTTGCTAAGTGTCATCACCTGACCCAACCAAAAGACACAGTGGTCTAGGTTGTCAGGCCAGTAAGGGCCATTACAATTGGTATTATAGGTAAGTCTTCTGGAGCCAGATGAATCTCCATGCAGATCCCAGCACTGTAGATCTCTTCTGGGATCCAACATATCTAGAAGTTTCCCAAGCTTGGACAGATCTTTAAAACCGTTCAATAACCAGGAAAGAGGGTGTGGCAATGGCTCAGTCTGTGAAGTATTTGCTTTGCCAACACAAGGTGCTGAGTCCCATTGGAAGAACTCACCTGATAAGGAAACTGTACTCCCATAAAGCCAGAGCTGAGGAGGCAGAGACAAGTAGGTCCCTAAGGTTCATAACCGGCCACCCTAGTCTGCTTGGTGAGTTCCAGGCCAGTGAGAGACCCTAGCTTAGAAATACAAGATGGATGATGCTTGAGAATAAGATCCAAGGTTATCTGTCCTCTGAGCCCCACACATGTGTGCACATCCACGCACAAATACACACGCATGCGCACCAGCCTAAATTACACAGTGCCCTGCTGATCCCACAGGGGACATTAACTATATCATTGGTGACCAATCCAACTGCGGTTCTCTCATAATCAGTATAGGGAGGAAAAGCTTCAAGCAAAAGATTTTGGCAGGAAACGAAGAAGAAAAAAAGTCTGCTCTGAATTAGGACTCTCATTTAGCCTAAATAGATCTACCTCCTGGTTACGATTCTTTAGCCAGTTCATTTCTCTAGGTTCCAATTTTGCTCCCATGTAACGTGACATTCTTGCAAAGCACCCTCAGCTCACACATTTACGGGTCTAGCCTTTCTTTTTCTCTGGACTTGGACTCTTTCTACCACTCCCGTCATTGGTAAGTTCGGTAGAAGCTGTTCTCTCCTCACAGGCAAAGACATTAGAGAGCAAATTGGGTACTGGAGCAGATGTGAGTCATTCATGTTAGTATAAAAACTACGGAATAAAACCCATTATGGCCCCAGAAAGCTGTGTAAAGCAACATATGGAGCAAATGTAAGCTGGAAACAGGAGGAAGCTGTGAAGTCCGATGCATATGCTCCCCGGCGGCGCTTGCTGTGGGCTTTCACACTTTGCTTTCTTTCCTTTTAGCTGTCGGCTTGCCACTCCTTCAGCTCACTGCACAGGCAGCAAGCACCCTTTGTTCCTTTTGGATCAGAGTCCTCACGCCCCTCCTCCCTGCCCACCAGGAGTTTTCAGGGGGTGTGCGTGTGTGTTCTTTCACGTGTGGCTGTGTGCATATTTGCCATCTGAACACTCACTAGATCTGCCACCACCCGTGCGGTGCCCCTGATGGCCAACCTCATACATTTTGACCTACTGGGGCTAGGTGGTTTTCCGTGGAGGAGTTTGCCTCTTCTAGAGCAGGGGGAAAGGTGGACAGGGGCTAGGCAGATGGTGGCACCGTAAGATGAGAGGCTTGCATGCTGTTCCAGCCCTGGCAGGGTTCCCTGGCAGAAAAAAAAAAGTGATAGAGGAGAATTCAAAGATGTCTGTCTTTATTGCACAGCCCCACAGGCACAAGTCTTTGAGTCAACCCCCGCAGTGGGCCCTGTTCAAGTTTTAGCTGTAAATAATGCATCAATCCCCCCCCCCCCGCCTCTGCGTTCTTGTTTCTTCTCTCTACCATAGATCCTGTCAAAATCGCAAGTCCTGGGTCTCCTACCAGGGCTTTTTCTGCAGTGAGCAGTGGAGTCGTCTGGGCTGAGTAAAGGAGAAGGAACTATTATCAACCCCATGCGCACCCTTCCTGCCACATGGGTACGTTTTCGCCAGAGAAATGAAGTCAGATGGCTTGTCCTCTCATCTTTGATGGTGACATGGGTGGCTCTATCTAGGGGTTCAGGCACCTAGTGCTCACCTAATTTAATAATTGATATCTATTAAACATTTTACTTTATGCTCCCCCTACCTCAGCCCTTCCCTCCACTTTTTTTTATTTTCTTATGCACTACTGTATAATTTGTTTCCTTGGAAGGGATTTAGATTTTTGCATTTCAAAAGCCTGCTTTTTTATTATTTTGAAATACCCCCAAACTTTCTTTGTTCCGTATCCAAATGCCAAGCGTAAAATTTACTATTGCTACAATGATAGGTCTTGGCTGATTGTAGAAACTGATTTGGTTGTCAATGATGATGGCCCCTCCCCCACGTTTTGCATAGAAAATGCAATGTTCCCCCTAGTATGAAGGAGTGACTCAGCTTAATGAAAAAAGAAAGAAAGAAAAACAGAAGACAAATCCTTAACTCACATAACTAGTGGGAATTCTGACAGAGAGAGCATAGTCTGAAGTGTAGGGAAAGCCAATGACGTTGTCATGCCCTGGATTCCACCTGCTTTATATATGGTAGTCATCTTTATTGGTAGACTTCAACTTGAGGGCCTAAGCCTACAGCTAAGTCTTAGAAGTAACTAAGCCCCCTCGAAACTGCCAGGAACTTTAAAGAGGTGCCAAGCACACCTTAAGAGTGTATAGCCACAAAATTAGGACACCCACGAGAGGCTAGAGCACATTTTATATGCAGTCACTAGCTGAGAAGAGCCCAATGCCTCAGTTTGCTTGAGTTTCTTGTACTCATTTTTTTTTTTGGGTGGGGGGTACAATTGTCAACAATGTCCCCTTTCATGTTCAAGACATTTCTGGTATAGATATTAAATGGATAATAATTTTAAAAATTGGTGTTTCTAGAAGAAAGATGGCTTAAAACATGGGTCCTTGCTCTTTAAATTCTAATATATATATATATATATATATGAGAGAGAGAGAGAGAGAGAGAGAGGCCCTAAATAGTCACACAGGACTATTTTGACAATAGGGACATATCAAGCTGGCTTTGCATAAGGTAACCATGAGGCACATAGCATGGCGTCAGGGTATTTTCTGGTCCCATGCACATTTCTAAAGATGTTTCACCCACATGTCAGCTCACAGATCCTGGGAAGCGCCTGAGTTCTTTCGGAGGACCAGGCGCTCCAGAGCCCAGGGTCCACATGAGAGGATGGAGTGAGAGGAAGCCAAGGAGCAGAGGTGTAAGCATGATGAAACCAGAAGTAGGGAGCATGGTGGGGGGTCTGGCACAGTTATCACAGCAGCAGGAAATGTGGGGGGGCATGGAAGCGATTATCTGCACCTGGTCACCACCACAAATCAGCTGCGACTATAGCTTTCCAGATTAGCAACAGAAACAGATGCCTAGATGGTAATGTGAAGTCATGCAGACTCTCAGAGGATCTTAATTGTGGGTAGCTCACTCAATAACCCCTCTCCTTACCAAAAAACAAATGACAAAAAAAAAAAATAGATGGAGTAAACAAAACAGGTATATAATTCGGATCTAGCCAGCTGTTTGCCAGTTTACAAACCACATGTGACCACACACAGATGTTCCTGGACACTGCCTCCTACCTTGGAGACTTAGCTAGGAAAAGGAGGAAAATGAACCAGAATCATAGGTCTAATAAGGACCTTGGACATCATTTAGTTCAACACTCTTCAGTATGTACTTAAAGAAATTGTAGCCCATAAAATCTGAATGATCAGCCAGTAGCAAGACAGTGTTCATGGTCAAACCTGGACTAACCCTATACACTATGCTCCAAAGGGACATTCTTCCCAAGGTTTGATAGGCCCAGAGGAACAGGGAGCCGAGACACTTCTGGGAATGGAGATGGGGAAGCCACTGAACTCAGAAGATTCCAGATAATCCACAAAGCAACAAAGATACTCTAAGCCCAGACTCTGAGCGGTTTGCTCAGGGGGCTGTAAATAAAAGCCTCCCCCCAGCTCTGTCAGAAAATATAAGCTGGCAATTTGGACAAAAGCCTAAGCATTAAAGATCTGGTCTCTCCTCACGTCTCTCTTGGGTGACAGTACGACTCCTAGATAGAGGTACCTTGGTCCAACTGAAAATTAGCTACACCCCAACGGGAAAACCATTTCTAGAGCCATTCTCTGCACCTGTCTTCCATTTCACCTGCTAAGTGCAGTACAAATATTAATTAAACATAGGTTATTTGAAAAGTGCTTTTAGTATTTAAACTTAACTGTGCTTTGTCAGGAATGATATTAATATCATCCCCCTGTTGTAGTTTTCTCTGTGCAATTGATTTCACACATCCCCTGGCTATTTCACCTTTTGTGTCGTCATTTTCATGAGGCAAGTGAAAATAATATTTCTCTTGTGCACAAAGGAGCCAAATCCCCTTCTCTGGCTTGATCCGACAAAGGCCAGTTTGAACGATAATGGAAAAGAACCCTGATGTACAGTCCAAGCCCAAATCCTCAGGGAAAAATAATGCATCTCTTTGGGTGAAAAAAAAATCGCTTATACTTATGAGGTAGGAGATTTTCAATTTATAAAGGTTTTCCATTTCTTTTGATTGCCAGGATAACTGCATTCCAGAAAGGTTAGCCTTCTCCTGTATTAAGACAGAACTGCCTCTCAGATCTGGGATGCACTCAAAAGCGATGAGTGACAAGCATCTCTCTCCATGTGCTGGACCACCAGCCTGGGGGATTTTCAAGCAGTGCTGATCAGAGGGCTAAAATCCATTACCCAGAGAGATGGGAACGTTCCTCTCACTGATTCCTTCCCCCTCTCTGCTTCCAGTCCTGAATTCCAAATTGATTTCCTTAATAACTATTAAAGATCTTTTTAATTAAACCAGGCATCCTCTTCCTTGGCAAACTTTTCTTGATGACATCTCTGGTTAATTAAAGGTTTAAGCTGAAAAGACGTATTACATAAGAACAAGGGAAGCTGCTTTATGGCATGCCCGTGAAGGATCCTGCTGACTCCTGCAGCAGAAACCCAGCTCTGCCTAAGAGCTGTTCATCTTGCCTTTCCAGGCAAGCAAGGCCCCAGAAAGTGTTAATGATAAAGGTGTCTGGGTGGGGTGAGGCAGGTTTTCTCTTTCCTGTGTTTCTCTTTCTCCCTTTTGACTTGCCTGGTAAGTGTTCCTCATTAAAAGCATCACTCACTGCGATCCCAACTCACCGATGCTGACAAAACATTTTCACCTTTTCATCCAAAATTCCTGAGGTAGTTGATACATTTGCAATAAGGGAAGAAAGAATAGAGGCCTTTCCACCCATCGATAAATAAATCGCAACCACCTCTACAAGAGAACATTCCAGTTATTCATATGTGTATGTGTGTATGTGTATGTTTGTGTGTTCATTAGTAAATTGCCCTGATTTGTTCTCTTCCCCACTCCTAGGCCCCTATTTTGAAACAGCATGAAGGATATAAAGTATAGAGTCACTAAAAAGCAAAGCTTTTTCTTCATACAAGGTTAGATAGCTTTTAAGGTAGGAATTTCACCTATGATCTTATCTTTCTGCCTCTGAAATTTGAAAAGATTCCAAACCTAGATGTCTG